CCTATACCTCTCTAGTTGGGTAGGTCTTATGTTCAGGAGTAGTTAACCAAAAACTAGTTGACTATATAGTTTTTTATGTACTATTATTGGTTTAAAGCTTGGTGTTTTATTTTGCTGTTATTATTGCTGTTACACTGTTTTATTTCTTTTGAGGTATTGTATTTTGTTTTCTAGGTTTTGTGGTTTTGTTGTTGTATTGGGTTTTTGATTTGTTTTTTTTAGAAAGAACTTATACTTGAGGGTAGGGAGGAAGAGAGGACTGGAAGAACTTGGGGAAACAGGAGAATGTGACCAAATACATCTAAATTTAAACATTATTTTAAATAATAAATAATATAATAAAAAGATGGCCAAAGTATGGTTGAATAAACAAACAAACAAAAAACAAATAGTAGTTACTTGGGACAAACAGGACAGTTATAGTGTGAGGAGAGAGTGGTTTAGGTCTCTCATCACTCTAGGAGACTCAAGGGTCCATGGTTCATTGTCCCCTGAGGTCCTGTCCCTAAAACTTCTCTTGTTCAGATGAGCACACCAATGGCAGGGGGAGGACATTCTTATCTGTCACCCCTCAAAACTAGGCTGAACCCATACAGTCTCAGTTCCTCAATTTCACCCTGAAGAGAAATGTTTCAGACTCCACAAAGCAATAGATTTTGACTGGGACTGCTGGATTTTATTGTGCTTAATGTGATCATTTTTATGTTCAGGTTCTTATGACAAATTCTATTTGGTAGGGTTGAGCTATGGATGTGGATCTGTTTTGAACAGAAAAAAAGCATAGCAGGATTTGTACTTACTACACCAAGGCTGCCTCCTACCATAGATACACCATGGGTCATAGATACACTGAGAGTAACTGAACTCTCTTTTGGGATCTCTGTTCACTCCCACATGCATAAGCTGAAGTGACAGTGAAATGAGAACTTTTCTGGCCTAACAGCCAGGAGCTCCATGAGTATGTAACACACTACCTGCACTGAAGTGCCTGATACTCACCCGCTGTTGGCATGGGCCTTGAGGGTGGCAGGCTGGAAGTTCCAAAGGATCCTAGGAAAATGAACAAGAGGAGAATAAGAGTTAGGTGAATACCCGGGGAACTGCCTCTGCTAACTATTCAACATCTACTATGAAACATCCCCATGATCTTCATGCTGTCTGCCCCAAACCTAGATTGCAATAGAGGATGGAGTGGACATCATTTGTGGAACCTATGCTGGCGTCTATTTCTTTAGATAAGAAAATGCCATCTGACTAACCTTCCTATTGTCCCCTTAATCCCACCCAAGTTAAGGACTCTTATGGTTTGGATTTTATGTCACTCTGAGGGGTCACGGTCACCTCACCTGAGACAGTGAGCTCCACAGGGGCACTGGCATGTGACAAGAGGTAGGGAGATGAATCTTGAGAACCATAGCACCTGTAGGTGCCTGAGATGTCAGAGGTCACAGCGCTCATGGAGAATTCTGCCTGGAACTCCTGAACTTGAAACTTTGATTTTAGTCGCTGGGGTTGTTGGTCTGCTCCCTCCTTGGACAGAATGAAAGTGTCCACTTTG